AGAGAGAAGAGACCGTCACGATGGGAGCCTCGTTCATATATGCCACTGATTTCGATCTATTTATGGCGCAAGCTGGTGACAAAAGGTGCAGTGCCAGCAATCAGGTGCTATCCTAACGGAAGATGTGGACTGTCTGCAGGCTGCCCTGGTCGCCTTAAAGTAGGGTTCTACCGCAAAGCCATCGCTCGGATTCCATTTCCTCTCAACCAGAGCTGTGGATGCAATAGGCTTTTGGGGTCCCAAATGTCCAGTACAACCCATGGGGTACTTCTGAACATAAAGGACGTACGGCAGTGTCCAATTTTGAACTAGCTATAGCGTCCTCCGTCTCTACGCACACACGCCACAATATCCCAGCAATCAAGCGAGGAATTGCGCCCTTATAACTCGACGCATGATCTGGTCCAAAACAAAACGTGTGAACGCCATAGAAATGATAAGGCAGCATTATCATTTCTATACACATACAATAGAATGATAACGCCGGCGGCGTTTATCGTCTTCCTCTGAGAGCATGTCTTAGATGCTTTTGTGACTTGGCGGTGGCTCAAGGTGATCACCTCTTATTTTTTGGCCTTGGATTAATCCGCCGGGTGCTGCCCCGAACGCGCTGACAAAGTCACCGCCTGCTCAGCATTCAGCCAACGGCAGTCAACGTTTCGGGAATACCGGGCGTGTATTCGGGTGGGGCGGTGACGGCAGGCAATGGAAAACTCCAGCTGCCTGTCAAGCGACCATTCGTGCCCGTGCGGCCACTCCCATGTAAAAGCGGTCTTCAGAGCTGAGAAAAATCGACGCTTAAAGAGAAGAGGCGTTTATAGCCGTTGGCAGCTGTCGTCTGCTGGAGAAAAGAGCACCCCAGTTGATTTCACCGTACTGTTCAGAATGTAAATGCCATAATGAGCGTCCTCCACCAATGAAAAATAATGCATTCAACTCTCGCTTAATGTACCTAGTTACGCATATCTCTGGGAGTTTGGTGCCAGACATATGCCACCAACAATATGTACTGTTGTCCATCTTATGCGGCCAGTCCCAACACCGGCAGAAAGTTCAACACAGCAGTTCCCGGCGCCGGCGAAACTCGGCGCCAGCCACCTTGGACTCAACTCCCGTGGCGCTGGTAACGATCTAGCACGGGCTGGCTGGGCCGTGATGGCGAAATCTTGTAGCCGTGGTTAAGTTCAAATAGCAAAATTGAGTCAGTGACTTAGGTTCGCTTACGTTCTCCTCTATCTCTTAGCAATGTCCGGCTGCATGTTACGTGAGTGAGCTTACGTGCTAATTGAGTCAATGACTCAGGTTCGTTTGCGTTATCCCCTATCGCTTGGCAATGTCCGGCTGCATGTTACGTGAGTGAGTTTACGTGTTAATTGGGTCAATGACTCAGGTTCGTCTGCCGTTCTCCCCTATCCCTTGGCAATGTCCGGCTGTATGTTACGTGCGTGGTTGCTATCCCAGGTCAAACTTGGTCAATGGTGCCAGTGCCAACACACGGGACCACACACCTCAGGCCATGTTGGACATCCTTCAACGATTGGAATTGACATTTGAAATTTGGTAACACCGATCTCATCTTCTTATTCTACCTACAATAACCGCGGCGTTTTGTAGCGGGCTGCCCATATAGAACATTATCACTGTCATGGCAGGTGACGTTCTTGATGCACTCAAAATGGCAAGTCTAATGCACTAGGATGAAACAGTTGCCATGTTCAAGATCGTTTATTCAATCACAGCGAATTTTTCACGAGTCAGTAACAAGATAGCACATTTGATTTGATCAGTGATTCTGCTACAATGGCGTACATCAATGGGCGCATCCTTCCCGAGGCCAGCCTCGTCCGAGGAACAGCTGGTGCGCAGAGCCTCGCCACAGACGCCGCGGACAGCGCAGCGCCTCGCCACAGACGCCGCGGACAGCGCAGAGCCACGCCACAGGCGCCGCTGACAGCGCAGCGCCTCGCCACAGACGCCGCGGACAGCGTAGCGCCTCGCCACAGACGCCGCGGACAGCGCAGCGCCTCGCCACAGACGCCGCGGACAGCGCAGCGCCTCGCCACAGACGCCGCGGACAGCGCAGAGCCTCGCTGCAGACGAGAGCGGCCCAGTCGTCGGCGCCGGGACCGAGCCAGGCCGCCGCCGGCCCGGCCGGCCGCCTGAGGGGGCGTCACTGGCGCGCAGCCAGCGCCACGTTCGCCTCACGGCGGCACGGCGGGGCCGGCGTGTCAGCCTGCCGGGGGGCCGTCACTAGCGCTCCGGGCGGCCGAGGACCGGCCGTCACTCGAACACGCCTCGACAGGTCCGGACAGGTCCGGACAGGGCCAGACAGGTCCGGTGACCTCCTGACGTCTGGCCAGTCTTCAGTCACAGAGAGGCCGCCACTTGGTTTGCTCAAGGTGGCTTTGGGCGGCTTTGTTGTGCTGGAGGAGTTCCGCATTTAGTCATAAGGACAAGTAAGCCGTCTAGAAAAGTAGACTAGGATGGCTTGATTTTTCCCGAGAAAGGTTTATTCCACGGGGACTTGAAAAGCCGCCAAGCTTAGGCATGTGCGGCACTTCTTTGCCCAAGAACTCATCAAGCTCGCGAATTGCACCGCCACCATTTCATCTCAGGCTCTGCTGAGCTGATCACGGACCGAGCGGCGCGCGACCGACGGCTTGCACCGCTCCCCGACCGACCGACCAGCTTCCTCTCCCCACACGCCCGGCTCACCACCTCGTTCGTTCTCATTAACTTGTTGTGCGCTGGTCGTGACATGGGTGGGGTCATTAGGAGCAGCGCCGAGCGTCGCACACCGCGAAGGAAACCCGCGTGTCGCGTGCAGAAATCGCGCGAGATGGATGGAGGGCGTCTTGCGTGCTGTGCTCGATTAGAGTACCTTTCCCTCCATGCCCATTGAGATTCCGCGAAGAATATCGTCATGGCGATCTCCATGACCAGAGATTGGGCTGACGCCTACTATCGTTCACGCTCAGGGCAGAGCGCGCGGAGCGAACGTGAAGAGAGAACGAGCGCAGACGAGGTGGAAGAGAAATGACAGCGGTTGATCGGCCGGATCGAACAGCGGTCAGAGCTTGTAGGAGCGATGTTCTGTTGGCGATATTTGTGGACATGGATGTCGATTTCTCAAAATGATTGGAGATACAAACACACGCACGCACGCACGCACGCACGCACGCACGCACGCACGCACGCACGCACGCACGCACACACGCACGCACGCATGCACGCATGCACGCACGCACGCACGCACGCACGCACGCACGCACACACACACACACATACACACACACACACACATATATATATATATATATATATATATATATATATATTCTTCATAGTTATGTTGTGCATCGGTATTTGATTTAGTTCGCTTGTTCACTGACATTCCTTTGTAGAACACCATCGACGTTCATGACAGAGGCTCGTTTGACAGTTACCGAGGTGACAGGAGCCCCTTTCTTGGCAGCCCCAGAGTGCACCCCGAGTCCGCAAAACTGCAGTTGTCGCGACACCGTCATGACGACCACCGTCGACATGACCAGAGCAGAATCTGCTGAAGGCCGTTGTCAGCTGCTACGGGTTAGAGGAACCACTTTTGAGCTTTTTGAGCTGTTCGACGATGACCGTGACGTCACGCCGGCCCAGCTATCCATGGCTCCGCGGAGTTACCGAAGTCTCCCCAGCTATGGAGGAGCGCGAATGCGTCCGCGAGACCTGGGAGCGCTGCCGTACCACAGATGCGCGCCGCGCGTACCAGCGGTACCATGATAGAGTGAAGGGATTGATAACTCCCGCGCGACGCTCCTACCTGTGCAGCGATCTGCTGAAATGGCGGCGAGACTTTCGGAACCGCCTTAAGCAGTTTGGACTGCAGCCAGCGAGAGGGCGCGACACACCCGATTACGACATGGGCACCCGGGCGGACGCATTCAATGCTCACTTCGCTGCCGTTAGCTCCCGCATCGCTGCGGAGGCAGCGGCGGTGCGTGGCAGTACGGGTGCGCCACCAGCTGGACCGCGGCCGTGCCATGTGTGCGTCTCGGCGTTCTCCCTGCATCCAGCCACTCCACCGGAGCCCTCTGCAGCCATCAGGAAGATGAGCGCGTTGAGGGCTGTTGGCGTTGACGGTGTACCACTAGTGTTTCTATGTAATCGGCGCCCATCTTCTACATCTGATCAACTTTTCTATCTCATCACGCACCTTTGCGTCCGTCTGGAAGATTGCGCGCGTCACCCTGATATTCAAGCCGGGCGATCGATCGGACCGGAACAACTTTCGGCTCATTGTTATTCTCCCTGTACTGTCGAAAATTACCGAGAAGATCGTTTGGCCGCAGTTCACCTCTCACCTTCTTGACACTCATGCACTGACGTCATCGCAATATGTTTAACATCCACGTCACTCGACGGAGGACCCCCTGATCGACGCTCTCGGGTGGCTGGCAAGGGCTGTCGACGACGGCCGTGTCGCGTCGATAAAGGCGATTGACCTTAGCAGGGCTTTTGATAGTGTTGATCACGGCGTTCTCCTGCGCAAGCTGGAATGGCACGGGGTGTCGTCGGTATGGTACCGGGACTACCTGAGCGGTCGGAAGCCGATGGCTAGTGGTGGCGTGATTACCCCATCCCTACCCAACGGGGTGGCTCAGGAACCCCTTGTCGGCCCAACCCTGTTGCCGATCTTCAGCAATGACGTATCCAGCTTCCTATCCCGCGGCGGCACACTGTCCCACACCGATGACACCCAATTCCTTGACTCTGCCACCCCTGATGTCGTCGGCTGATGTCCGACTGACCGCCACCCAGCGGCACTCTCCGTGCCGCGCCTCCGCCGCGTGGAACCGGCTGCCTGCCGCGGCCGTCCGCGCCGCCTCGCGTCGGGCATTCTTAAATGTTTTGAATCGCTGATCCGTTGACTGAAACTGATTCACCTGCATGTATATGTGCATCTGTGTGCAATGTGCGCGCGTTTTTTTTTTTGTCGCATGACTAGGCACAGAACTACCACCACGTGGGTGCGCCTTCAATAAAACAGCTTTAACTGTACCTGCACATTGCGGACCCGTGGGCTTGAAAATGGGACCTCTTGTGGTATGCAGGTGTCGTGGTTATTAGTTCTCAAGCATTTTTACAAATTAGTGTGTTCCAAACATTACAGAGCACACTCGTCGGAAAGCGAGTCAAATGAAATGCATTACTTTCATAGTGGAGAGTAAGGAATTCAGTTACATTCAACCCGTAGGGGTCGCTACTTCAAACAGAAATTATAAGCTAATCGGAAGGATTTCGAGGAAACTGGCATTACTCATCAAATCGGACGCGTTTGATCTAACAATACATAAAACGCACAAAATGTGGCATGCTTCCTTTAAACTCAAATCCGTTTTTAGTCTTCATTCAATGTTCAGTATCCGTTTAGGCTCCAAAATGTTAGGGTTCAGATCCGGGATCCGGCCAAGGCATTGGTTCAAAGTGGGTCACAATGGACGAGAGGGGTCGGGGGACAGCGGCCCATCCAAAACAATACAAATCGGCATCGGTGGCTGCGTCGGTATCTCCGATCTGCACGCCGCTCTTACCGATATCGCTCCTGCCGCCCGCGTGTCCCGCAGCACTGGCGCAGCGAGCGCCGGGTTCTCCCCGCGCGGCAGCTCTGACCAATTTCGCTCCTGTTGCCTGCGTATCCAGCAGTGCTGGCGCAGCGAGCGCCGGGTTTTCCCGTGCGGCGGGTCTGACCAGCGTGACCTGCGTCTGGCAGAGCTGGCGCAGCGAGCTCCGGGTTTTCCCGTGCGGCGGGTCTGACCAGCGTGACCTGCGTCCGGCAGAGCTGGCGCAGCGAGCGCCGGGCTCTCCTCGCTCAGCAGCTCTGACTAGCATGACCTGTGTCCGGCAGAGCTGGCGCTCCCTGTCGCGGACCAGCTCCGTCAGAAGCGTCAACGGCGGACGGTACGACGCCTCGAAGCTGATCGCCGCCACGGAGCTCGAGGACTCTGCCAGCGACGCCAGCCCAAACCGCAAAGGTGAGGGGCCACGGTCAGACAGCCGAAGATGCGGAAACTGGCGGCGAACTGTGCCCTCCACGTGCGGTTGACATTGAAGTTGGCGCCTCGTGGTGCTGAGACTACTTTACATGCACTGGACTGACTCATTCCTGCTGTTGTTCTGAGCCGACGTGTCTGCGCCGGACTTCCGGCTGTTTGTAGTTTCAATTTCTATCTTACCGTGACACCAGTGTTCTATGCAGGTTAGCACATTAATTTGCTTCTCGAATTGCTGTTGTTTGGGCGTTAATTCCCATTTCACGCGCCAATGAGTTTGAAGAATAGGTCACCTGTAAAACATGGATAGCATCCTTGTTATTTTTCAAAAACTGCATTAAGCTAGCAACGTCGTGCTATATATATATATATATATATATATATATATATATATATATATATATATATATGTAAATGTGTTATCTAGCCAATGCAGTTTCGGACCAGGCAATTGATGATGTGTTCCAGACACTTGTCTCGTCTTTGGATCCATTATGCGGATGTGCGCACGCTATGCCCTAGTTTTCAACATAAACACCTATTACGTTTCTGCGAGGGTCCTCCGGAATCTCTGCATGGTTGTATCATTATTTCCAAGACAGTTCTTTGTTTCTGTGTGCTATGTGCATGGGTGTTGTGCATCTAGGTTTTGGAGAATGCAGTGGATATCTTATATTGGAGAACCGACGATCCTTCCTCTTTACTGAAAGCGGTTTTGGTCACCCTCTGGTGGCCCTGGCCAGGGGAGGGGGCACCAGTGACCGCGAACTCCCCCTCCCCGCCCTCCTAGTAAACCGTGAAATCCTCTCCCACCAGTGAAAACCTTCTTGTGCTGGCAGCTCATGCCCGCCAGGTCTTTAAACCTGTGCAGGCAGAGACTGTTGGGAAACCCACCACGGAGTCGCCGAAGATTGCATACATTTTGTACTGCGCAAGCAGTCTAAGGTATGGTAACTGTTCTGGAATAAGAAACTTAGGGAACGAAATTGAGCGTGGAACCACTTTTGATACGTCATACAGGCTAAAACTGCTCCCAGCTGGAGTTTGGTTGGCGTAGCCGTGTGCCGAAATTTCGGCAAAAATATGAAATACGTACCCGTCACACCTGCGACGGTGCTGTTGTGCTGGAGTCCATTCGGATTGGTTTAGTGATGTGAATAGCTGCGACAGCAGCCAAAATAAGACAGACTGCGTAAAAATGCGGTGAATCTAGCTAGCAGGCCAGCGCAACAAGTATAGTTCCGAACACGACGAATGTGTCGCCGTGCAAGTGGCGTCCGATGACAAGTGGGATCTGTCATTTTACCCTGAGATCTGTTGGCTTTGGGTCAAATTGCTTCCGTTCACGTCGAACCCTCTGCGGAGTTTTGGAAACAAATCCGCTTTTTCCCAGGCTCTTTCCATGCCGCGTCATTACGTTAATGTTGATTTTGTTAGTCTGGCATGTAGCTCACCACTCTTACGGCGCTCACATAGCACTTGCAACTGCGTTTTTTCCGGGGGCGAAGGGAGACATAGGGACAGCATCCCGTGTGCCCCCTGCCTCGCTTTCACCGCCTGGCTTTGCACGCTCTGATTATCATATGTTGCCCTGTCAAACAACCTTTTTCACAGCGCAGCGCATCACAGACTGTTAAAAAACATCACCCATAGTATCCGCCTTTCTTTATTGATAATTATTAAACGTGTGCCATTTACGACAGAAATGGACACGTGGGGATATTCTGTCACGGAGTTGGACATGGAGTTGGAGCTAGACTTTTTGGACACACACATGCATCCAAACAATAGCCGTAAAGTTCCGTTGTATATCTACGCATCGGTGGCATAAACCAACCCAGTCACGCCAACCTGATGTTTGCAATGGCTCGAAATCTACGACTTACTTGTACGCGTCCCATGCAGTGGACTTTCTTTAGATGACATAGATTCTGCAGTTTGGGCTGAATCACCATTCGCTCCTGTTTTCAGTCTGTTGACAAGAATCATCCAGCCATCGGAGCGCTCGTGCTGTTTTTTTTAAACACACATCTAAGTGCGGGGAAATACACAACAAAGGGGAGAGAGATAACTCAAAAATATTCACTGAAAACCGGGTTTGGCGCGCAACAAATTTCTTGTGTGTCCTAGGATAATATCGCATATGCTCGGTCTTAGTCGCTCTTGTCCACCTGAGATCGTGTATGCTCTGTTTATCGAAAGAAAGAGCTGAATTAAAGTGCTGCCAACGATTTTGCACGGTCTTTTGCGCGTGGGTCATTATTCGAGTGTGCTGTAGCCCAAAAATTACCGGCATCATGACCGGCATCACTTTGGTGTTGCGGTAATATTTTACGCAGTGAGAAGTTTTTATATTACTTTACTTGTATATTTCATTGTCTTTTTATATTTTATATGTTTTAGTATCTACTTACCAATGAATGAAAAATCTAGTCTAGCGTCTGGAAGGATTGTTGGGGCACAAAGTAGGGAAATTGTTTATAATGTGTATCAACATTTTGTCGAAAACCGGGACATGAAGTTGAAGGCGCGAGACGACGACGCCGTCCGGGAGAGTCCATTATTACGAACAGCAGCTGTAACGGGCGTTGGGAAGACTACAGTCTACCGCATACAACGTGAAGCCCAGAATGATGCCAGACTGAAGTCGCCAAGCCGATCCCGACCAGCTGCAGCAAGACCAAGGGTGGATCTAGATCCGTTCGATGTTTGCGCGATGAGGAGAATGGTACACCAAATGTACATCGACGGAAAACATGTTACTCAGGACACCATCACGGATGCTCTTCACGAACAGCTCGGCGTCACCATGTCTAGATCTACCGCAAGAAAACACCTACTCGCGAACGGATTTAAGCACCGAAGGATCGACAAGCGCAAGATCCTGATCGAGAAACCTCATATTGCGGCAACGAGATGCCAGTTCTTGCGGGAGATGAGGAGGCTGCGCAGAGAAGTTCCCGATAGCAAAATCATTTTTACCGACGAGACATGGCACAATCAATAGGATATGGAGGACTTGCGTGGGTGGACGGTAGTCAAAGCAACGGACGGAATAACGCCATTGGAAAAAGAAAACGTTGTATCATAGTCCATGCCGGCTCTTCAGAAGGATTTATACCGGGCGCACTTCTCCACCTCAGGACCGATGGCAAGAACGCCGACTACCATACGTCGATAAACGCCGACTGCTACGAGAAGTGGTTCACCGAGTGCCTCCTTCCGAACGTGCCAGAACACTCTGTGATCATCATAGATAATGCCTCATATCATTCCCGTTTGTGCCAAAAAGTGCCAACTTCTAGTTGGCGTAAAGCGGAAATCCAGGAGTGGTTGCAGCAGGCAGGTGTGACCATCGACGAAGACATGCGGAAGGTGGAGCTGCTGGAGCTAGTCAAGTCCCAGAACCGGAGGGAGGAATATTTTCTGGACAACCTTGTTAGAGATCATGGTCATCGGATCGTTCGCCTGCCGCCGTATCACTGCGACTTGAACCCGATAGAGTTAGTGTGGGCACAGATGAAGCGCGTGATAAGATGGGGGAACTTGACGGGGCGGATGGAGGAGGTGGAACGGCTGGTGGAGGCAGGTGTCGCAGCTGTCTCTCCAGAGGACTGGTGTAAGTGCTGTGAGCACGTCAAAAGACTAGAGCAGCAGTACTGGACGAATGACGGGCTGCCAAAAGATCTCCCACCGGTTTTCGTAACAACCGATGATAGCAGCGACTCCGGCACCGACTCCGGCAGCGACAACGATGAATGAGAACAGTATGACACATCGATCATGAGAAGTGTCTCCGTTTAGTCCTTTTCAACTGACTTCGTAGCGTTTACATGGATGTCGCATTTAGTTACGTGTGGGGTGTTTGAGCTGGATGTATTGTACATATATCTGCAGCTGAATGTTTAGCGTTTTGTTGAATACCTTCAATAAAACTGAGCGAATTAATTTTCTGTGTTTGGGATTTTCCCATGTTATTCATGAAACAGCACCAGATTGTAGCAATTACCGAATAAAAGTATAGCATAACTTGCTTCAAAGGCAGTCAATGAATTTAGAACGTAATAATGATTGCCAACGAAAATAACCCCAGTGCCAAATATATATATATATATATATATATATATATATATATATATATATATATATATATATATATATATTTCGACCAACCATATGAACATCAATTTGCTGCAAGCAATGCAAACATCCAAAACTGCTATTGCTTCGAGATATCCGCAGTACTGTCCTGCAGGCCTTCCGACCAATTTTGTTGAGTTTGAAAACAAAATCAGCGTGATGCTCGTGACGAATTGGTTGACCAGCTTTGATTCCGTTCTTTCTTACGATAAACAGAGCATAATCAATATTTAAACACGCACATGCTAATGCATGGCATATATTTGATACCTGAGGACGCCTGCCCCCGGGAGCTTCCATGTGCGTGCACCCCTATTTCTGTGCACGGAGTAATTGGTGATTGCCTTTAGCAGTTCATGAGGCTAAAATCATGCGTACGAATGAACCTGTGTGAATTTCAAACACCAGCCTTTGCTCGGTTCTCGGTTGGCTATCACTTCTTATGCAGCGGGAACCTTAAGACAGCCACATTGTTTCTGCTTCCGTTATTTTATTTCTCACTGTCTCATTACTGTTGCAATGCTTCGATGCCGCACAGCTTGATCGATAATTCGTAGCTCTTCGCATACTCATTGCTGCGACAACTGCTCAGGTACCGCCAAGCATCGCTGAATAAGTTCGCTACCCATCAACCCCCCATCGTCGTCAATGTGCGATCCTACATTTTGTGCATTCCAGTACACGAACTGGATCACAGCTTAAACAGGCATCACATTAGTGCCAGCGCACTGGCGCTGCTCACGTGAATTAGCGTCCTCCTTCAAATGGGACCCCAAGATGGGGAGAATGGGGACTCATCGTCGCTCCCTCAACAAAGTCAATATTTTTTAACGGCCTGACTA